ATAACTGTATGGCTATGACAGAACTATCATTCATAAAGAATGATCCACACAGGAGCTTCCTGATGTTTCTTTAGCATATGAACAGTCTCCCTATGAAAGAGAGAATCTCAGTGAGTAAACAAATGGTTTTCTTTCATTAATAATAATGGTTCCGTGTTTTCTGTGTGTTGGGAGCCGCCCAGAGTAGACAATGTCTAGATGGGCGGCATATAAGTTTAATAAATAAATACCTTCACCCTATGAAGAAAACCTTCTAGCCTAGAGTCTATTCCTTCCCCAGGAATCTTCTCAAGAGAGCATCTGGTTTTCCTGACAGTCCCAAATTGCTGGAGGCTACATCTCAAAAGGCTACCTATCAAAAGACACATGATATTGAATGTCTGTCTGTCTGTTTTCCACCTACTCAAGATCTATGACTTGTTTTTAAATTCCATCTCTAGATTGTTCAGAGATAAAGAAAACCAATGGCATGCAAAGGAAACTCCACTTTTTCCTCCAGTCTTCGCCTGGAGATTTTTTTTTTTAACAAGGAGAGTTTCACCTGCCTTATGTTCTTCTACATGGGAGAAACCACAGGATGGCCAAAGCTTCTCAGTCATAAGCATCAGCTTCAGGAGCACTCTGGCACTCAGTGCTTGAGTGTGAACACTGTTTTCTCTTCCCATGAGGAAGGTAAGGAGGGAATAAGCCTGGGGTCCCCACTGCAGCAATGGCCAGACATTTCAGCTGGTACTGTGAGCAGGGAACCTCCAACATTAGGAAATGTATGAGCTAAACATCCCACCTGGGGCCCAAAACAAGTTTCTCACCCTGGTGCTATTTTTATCTTCAAAGGAATACTCACACTTCGATTATATAGAGCAGTGGTTCCCAGCCTTGGTTAACCCAGGTGTTCTTGGACTGCAGTTCCCAGAAGCCTTCACAACCAGCTATGCCAGCCAGGGTTTCTGGGAGCTGCAGTTCAAGAACACCCAGGTTATCCAAGACTGGGAACCACTGCTATAGAAAATCTCTCTCTCGAAGAACCACAGTTATTTTTAAGGTGGTAATGGCTCAGAGCACATTATAGGTTGGATTGACTCAAACTAGAAAATATTTCTGAAGAAGGAGGGAGGTGGAGGAAGAAAAGTGATGGTGGTGGTGAAAGGGCCTACGTGAACCAAAGTCACATTTTATTCAGTACTGTATCAGCTTTGTGGCTAAAATTTTAATTTCTAAAATTCAATCAATGCAGCATTTCTGTGAATGCAATTTATACTGACCACATTTACAAACAAATGGCTAGATAATGTTATTGAAGTAGCCCACTTCTGGTCAAAAATAGTCTAATTATCTCAACCTTTTAATTTGTTTTTTATTTTATCTATATTTGATATATATGCATATTTTTAAATTATGCAACACTCTGATACAAGTAAAGAAAAAAGATGCCTAAAAGTTGAACTAAAAGCAAATCTGTTCAGAGCAGGATAAAATAACTAAGTTTTCACTGAATGCCTTCTATTACAACAACAGATAGTCTAAGTACACAAAGAACTTGAACTGTGAAACTTCCTTAGTCAGATGATGTGGTTTAAGAGCTGCTAACCACCAACAGAAACCAGATGAGGTCACTTCCAAACAGGATACAGCCCTGCCATTGTGCTCTGTATTTATAGCGACTGAAAACTTGCAAGCCTTATACACAAACTAGCACATCTGTAGGATTAAGCAGCTTGATGGATCTGAAGGCTCGACAGAAACTTCCCAAAGTTTTTCAGTAAGCACTATCTAGTTGCCATACTAGAGCTTCTGTAAAAAGGATGCATAGTCTTTTTGGTCCTGAAGGTTGCTGTCTCATTTTGGCACACACATGTACACACACTTCCCACATATGCGTATCCGTTTAAGCTCACATGCCTCCTCAATCAGACAGGCACAGACACATTTCTTCTCAATCCCTTTTCAGACTCAACGTATGTGCACATACTCTCCTTCCACCCACCCATGTGCACATATGCACCCCCTACCCACTGAAATCTAGGATTACTGGGGAGCAAATGAAAGCCTCTAAAATCCCAGAGATTTCAGAAGTTGGATTGCTGTTCATTGGAAGAGGCTTTTGTTTAAAAAAAAATTCCCAGTAATTTCCATTGCCATCACTGTTTCTCTACAGACTCTGGGATTAGGAAAATATCCATTTTGGAAGTGGGATCCCTAGAGATCGGGGAAGATATTCAATAACTTTTGTTGGCCCAGCAAATAGCAGTGTTAAAACACCAACACCAAACTTATCAACTGCAAGGAAAAGTGGCTCAGGGCTGCTTGTGGTCCTTGGTTGCAGGTTATTCCCTGCCCCCCTCAGGTTCTTTGTTAACAGCAAAGTCAGTTCTCCAAGCTCTGTATGTTCCACAGTAAGACTGTCATGGATTGAGCCTGAGCACACAGGAGGCCTCAGCTACTACATGAGGGGCATATCAATGACAAGCAGTCCGGTGGATATACTTCATGCACTGGGTTCAGTGTGAGTAGGACATCTATCATTCTGGAAAAAGAGCATTATCACCACATAAAATATTTTCCAGCCATCAAGAGACATCTTTAGGCAAAAGCACAGCCTATACATTTCAACCTAACATCTCCTATAGACATAAGAATCTGCTTTTCATTTAATACAAAGTAAAACGTCACTGTGAATATACAACGTCTGGAATTAACAACTGATATGAAATACATAACAAGGGGCAAGGGAATATAGCATATAACAAAACTATACCAGTCCTGCTTTTTGTTTTTAAATCCTGTCTTGACTTTAACTGCTGATGTTGTGGACTCTAGCTTCTAACTGTTTTAACTTATTTTTCTGGGACAGCCACCCTGAGGAAATGGAAATAGCAAGCTAGTGAAACCTAAAAAGGGTGTTGCCCTCTCTTTGCTGGACACAAACATCTGTGCCAGCTTTTGGTTTAACACACATTGCAAGATTCTTCCTTCCCCCAAAAGGCCACAACATTGGTAGACATCTGAAATATCGGTTTGTGCAACCGCTACACCAGAAAAACAGCAACTCCCCATCAAGCCAGTGCTTAATTAAATAGTGAAATACTGAAGACCAAAAAATAATAATTTTGTGAGACAGGTAAACCAGTTGTGGCAAGCACAAAGACCAAGAAACATTAATTGAGAAATATTAAAGATGGGGGGGGGCTATTAAGTCATCCCTTCCATCCTTTGCTAGTACATTCTTTCCTCTGTAAGTCTGGAGCAATGGGCTGAAATTCAGTGAGGAACAGAGGCTGCCAAGAGTACTGAGAGCCTGCTAACATTTCTGCAAAAAGAAGCTGAGCAAACTAAAGCTACAATGCACTTCTTGAGTCACAGATTATTTGGAGCGTGCCAGGAAAAGTTGATCTAGTCAAATACTTACCCAGTAAAGAACAAAAGGAATTGCATTTCACATAGATCACCAGATGACCAACATTTCAAGAGATGAATAATAGGGGTTAGAAACTATGGGAAAGGAACACTTTCCTTTTAAGAATGCATTGGAGAAAATTGACTTCAGCTGGCTGTTTTGCAAAGTGCATCTAACTTCAGTTTACCAAGTCAATATTTAATGACATGCCAAGTATACAGATGTGTCTCAAGACACAGAAGCTTCACCCCATGCAGATGTTGTTTTAATGCATCTTTTTGTTTGGGCAGTAAGAATAATGCTTATGTACTTCTGAACAAAGACAGATTTATACCAGAAAGAGGGATCTACCTTGGTCATGAAGGAGCATATGCAAGCATGGGGAAACATTCCTTTGGAACATGGGCCCTGTGGCTCCTACAGAAGGCTTGGATGTGTACATGGTGGCAACCAGCAGCCTCACACAGGCTGGGCATGGCTTCTTCCTTTGTAGTTGATGGGAAAATGATCTGCATTTGCAAACCATTGGACTTTTGCATATGAAATTGGAACTGAATTTTAATACATCTCAAAACTAAAAGCTGAGTGCTTATCATGTCTGCCATACTTTGATAAATTCAGTCTTGCAGGTGTCAAGAACATTGCAAGCTATCACAATGATATGGGAATCTTAAAGTTAATTACCAAACAATAATCACCCCCTCTAATAGCGAACTTGGCTGGTGATTCCAACTCAAATGAGGTCATTGAGAAGCAAGAAGGAGGTTTCAGCCTGTTCAGGGTGAGGTGTGTGATGGGAAGATTTGTAGAATGCTCCTAGTGGAAAAAGGTCCCCCCCCCCAAATAAAAGCCCAGTGAGGACTGGGTAGACATCTGAGTATCAATTTGGAAGAGGTCGAAGAGGATGGGGGAGACTCAAGGATAACCTCATGTCACACGTATTTCCCTTCCAACATTATGCTGTCACTTCCTACAATGTCCCAGATAAGACAACAACTTTCTTCTGTCTAAAACAGGGACTGCCCTGACAAGTAAGTAACAAACAGGATGCACTATCTGCAAAATCTTAAGAAAACTAGTAAATCCAGTTCAGTCAGGGCTGGCCATTGAAGTACTAATCAGATCAGATTTCAAATTAGCAATTTCAGAAAGGTTGCAACATCATGTGCTTTAGATCTCGGTAGCCCTTTTGCTTTCTTCCCTTAGGAGGAATAGAGAGAAGCACACATTTAAGAATCAAATTCCAGGATTGTCAATCTAGCTTCAACCTTTCTAAACCTGAGAAAATAAATGAGTTCTTCCTCTCTTGCTTGGATCACATTCAACATCAGAAAGTCACCACACCCAACAGATCCAGTTCCACCCAATAGATCAATGCCGAAAAGAACAAGGAGGAAATGCATTGCAGGGTAGCATCTCCATATCATCTGTACCTTGCAGTTCCACTCTAAGTACACCATAACTTATCAGAGACATACAAGAGAGTTTTGACTTAGTTCTGCTAAACTAAAAAGCATTAACTGGCTAGCCAACAGTAGGCAAACTCGCAGAGCAGACCCTCCCCAAATAAAGGCACGATAGGAAGAACTTTGTCTACTGTACTTACCATGGTTTAAGTGTCTGATGCAATCATTCAATACTGTGCTAAATTGTTTCTGAGCCACAGGATCCAGAAAGCAGAAGTAATTATGTCTAAGGAAAGGCTGCCATAGGTAGACTGGAAATTCCTTTGGAAGAACGACAAAAGCTGGGGAATTCTCCTTTTCACTGGAACCTTGGAAGAAATACATGTAAGAAATGGGCAGTTTTGGGGACCTGCAAGCAGTTTCACAACTACATACAAGTGGTGCAAGATGCCAAGTGTGTGTGTTCTCCAACTAGGCCTCCCAGCTTTTAACTTTTATTTCACTAGCTCATTTTTCCTGTGAGTCTGGCAGACTCATGTCTGTACTTTGAGGAAATAATCCAGGCTGCAGTATCATCTTACCTGAGCATTCAATCAGCAGACACACAAGGGTGAATCCAGGTCCACTAGGCCCTATAATCCTCTAACATCAGAAAATGTTCTTCAGCCACAGCAGATAATGCTAGAATCTTGCCTAGACCCCTGCCCCCTTTCCCCTCAGCTCTCTGCTCTTCAAGCCTTCCTGAAACAAGAACTTACATCTTGAAAGTAAGGAGTTAACAGTTACAAAGCTACCCTTAATAAGCTTTCTCACCCACCCACCCCCAAGAAAGGCATAAGAATGATAAATTTCAAAAGTAATATGAAGAAGGGAAACAAAGTTGTCGCATTGATTCCGTGGGTAATGCTTTCTGGGGATTTCTAAATGTTACTGTTGAAGGGCATGTTTGGAGGAAATTTTCATGACACAAAACTGGCCTGCTGGTAAGATTTGCTGGCTGAAGAGCCCCAGAAGGGGTGGGAAAGAGGTGGTGTTAAGGAGGAGCTAAATTTTTGCAGATTCAAGTCTTGCCTCCAGACCACAAGCACAGCCACAATGCTGGCCCACCATTAGGACACTGTGACAAAGTTGTTGTTGTTATGTGCTGTCAAGTTGGAACTGACTTACAGCAATTCTAATAGGACTTCCAAGGTAACTGAGTGATGATAGTCATAAGTATTTATTTATTTATTTATTGGACTTATATACCGCCCCATAGCGCTACAAGCACTCTCCGGGCGGTTTACAATTTAATTATACAGGCTACACATTGCCCCCCCAGCAAGCTGGGTACTCATTTCACTGACCTCGGAAGGATGGAAGGCTGAGTCAACCTTGAGCCTTGAGTAATTTTCATTATTCCTTATCCAGGAGAAGCCTGGATTCAACACAGCTTAATTTGGCCTAATGTTGGCTCAGGTGGCCCTTGGCCATTTTAGCCATTTATAATTTCATTCCAAGACGGCCAAGGGCCAGCTAAAATGACAATAGGCCAACAGGACAGACTTGTACTTAAATAGCCTATAGCCAGCATATCTTCAAGTCAGGATTGGACTGTTTGTTCACTGTTGTATGGGCCAGAAGCTGACATAACATGTTTCTTTCTTATTTGTTTACATATATAATTATTTTACACACATCATCTAATCAGTTATCTTAGTGTCATGTTCCAAGGCTGGTCTCAAGTCCCTGCAGGGCTGGCACATGGCATAGCACCAAGGACAGCGCTCCGTGAACACCTTGCCCCAACTTTCTGGAGCTGCTGCACTCTTACAACTGCAGGCTCAAGACTGCTCCCTTCAGGCTCCAGTTTCTTTCTTTCCAAGTAGGAAGCCTTAACAGGACTGTTCCCTAGTTTGCAGCCTGGCACTTTTTTACTTCCCCAGGAACACCTGCCAGGTGCAACTGTGAGTGGTGACCTACCAATTCCTGGGATCGTAGAACTCCTGGAAGTAAAACAGCCTATCCAGGCCAGGGTCAGCCCCTGGAATCATCTTGGTTATCCCATAAAACAGTGGCCCAGAAGGGCCTCTAGGCTAAATTACATTTTCCATTAAAGAGACTGCATACAGTTTTAAACCCCTGTTGACTTCAGGTTCAAGCAAGCATGCAGGCTTTGGCTTTCTCTCCATCTTTTTTTTTTTTTTGCTGCCCTCCTTCACATCAAAGCTAAAGAAGCAGAGAAAGAAAGAAAGAAAAACTTCGCTCTGTTGGCATTGCTCATCTAACAGAGTGTATAGTTCACCACTCCATCAATCCATCAGATAGATCTCATGTGGAAAAGTCTGTCCACCCTCAGTGAAGTTCTAGGTTATTTCCTACATAGATGCACCCTGCAACAATTCATATTTTCAATACTTTCTGAAAATATTCCATGCAGCATTTAGAAAGGCAACACAATCTGTGCCAGAAAATATCAATTAACACACAGTGTACACACCCTGTAATGCATTTCGTTTAGTTATTTAGCAACTCATAAAAATGGTCTAACATTTACCAATAATCAAACAGGATTTTAAAAGAGCAGGAGGAGGACTGGGCACATTATTTTTGAAGGTAACTTACCATTAGGGTCTGGAAAATGTTTATCAGATATGGCATTATATTCTTCCTCTGTAGTCAATACTTTGCCACCAACAGGTAGAATGCAGCTTTTAGAACCAAGTCCCTTCTGATAGGCCTAGGGTTGGGAGGAAAAAAAAGAAACTTCAACAACAGCATAAATAAGCCAATGGACTTCTTCCGACTCACAGATATGAGTCTTCATGCACTAGGTCAGGGCATTTTAACTTGTAGGATCATATTTTGTTCCAAATGAGGCTTCTATTGCAGGCATTCTGCAACAGTGTCACCTGCACAATTATAAAAATGTCCCAAATTACAGCCACTTGTCATTTCACCCCCCACAAACAATAATCAGCTAGGAGAAACAAAATTAACTGAATCCCAGTTAATCCATGGCTTTCTGCCAATTAGGTTCTTTTTTTATTCCACCAATTTAATGTATTCAGACCAAAAAATGATAGTTTGCAGGAGACCATGATGCAGCAAAGTAGAAGGAATGAACTCAATTTTTCCGCACACTGGTCCCATTGGAGGAAAACAGAAACTTCTTCCATTTGTGGAGACACTGGAATTTATTAAGGGTAGGAAATAACAAATTAGAATAGTTAAGAACTTAGTTTCACCTTGTTAAGTTAGAACCCATTGGAATCTGTGCCCACTAACACTCCTTTGAAATTAGGGCATTTTTCTACAATGCAATACAATGGAATTCTCACTGAGGTGAAAAAATACATCACAAATTTCATGATGCAAGTTTGTTTAGCCTAGTGTAGGAGAGTTAAATGGGGGTATACAGGAAAAAAGAGAGATGACAATACTGTGTGCAAAATTAAGGTCTCTGTTTTCCATCTTCTTTTTTTAAAAAATCTTTTTTATTGTTGTTGCTATGGCTTTAAAAATATGCGTTTGCAAGAGTATGCATTTTCCTGATGAAATCTCAATAGCCAGAGTGGTGGCTAAATAAGATTTTCAAGAATCATATTGTATCTTCACATCTTATGACTTAATCAAAAATGAAAAATTAAATTGACTCTTCCATGAGCCTTAACCCTGTTCCAAGGCAGCTTACAAAACACTGAAAAATACTACACAATAAATATAAACAGAAAAAAAGAAGAACCTATTGCCAAGTGTTATTCTGAAAAACAAAAATTATGGTATGTAAATATTCTCAGCAAGTACCCATATCATGAAATTCAGCAGTCCAGGATCCAAGATTTGGAATGTGTGATTGCATTTTAGAAACAGAACAAAACAGTGCCCTGAGTTCTCAAGTTATATCTGTAGCAGCCTTTCACTCATATTGACCTTAAATAAGACGCTTGGATCTCAGAACTGAGCACGCTAGATCAAAACACTTTAAGATCAAGGCTCAGGACTTTAAAAACTGACAATTTACCTCTTTGCTTTCAAAGCATTCCACAGCATAGTTGTTTTTAATCACTATGTATCTGTCCTTCCATTTCTTCAAATCTTCAACAAAGTGTAACGATTCTCCTTCATAAAGGGCCATACTGGATTCTGCAGGAGGCTAATGTAAATGTTAGAATGTTACAAATAAATAAAACTAGCTCTTGTGAAGCCTTCCCAATCCTTTATACAGTATTATTTTTTTAAAAGGGCAAAGTAAAGCAAAGCACAGGTGTCCCAGGGATCATGGCTGAAGGGGGCAGACTGTGACACCACTGCCTGCCCCCCTTCAACAAGGATCCCGCATAATAACTGCCTAGCTATTTTTAATAATTATTTATGACTTGATGAGATCTCTATATAGTCCTGTTTTGTGTTGTTGCTTTAATGTTTGTTTTAATGGACCACAGCAATTTTGTAGTGAGCTGCCTCAACTACAGATATTAATATTAAGCTGTAGTAAGTGTCTCTGGGCCAAAGCAAAGTCCTCTGTTGCTAGTGAAGATTTTTGAGGGCTGAGTAAACTAAGGGTTCCTGCTTTCAGGGTTTATTTGCAAGATTGTTTTCTTTCTGTTTAAAAGGGGGGAAATGGGAAACAGAAGAAGGAAAGGTTTTCATACTGCAGCCAGTTTGCCAGTGCAGTGTACCCACCCAACCCCACCTGCTCCAGGGTAAAAAGCATTGTTACTCAAAAGGTGTTAGGGTTCTTACTGTACTGTCCACAGGAAATGAAAACTCCTATCTTTTCTGGGAGAAAAAAATGTGTGCAAACTAGTATAGTATGGGAATTAAACTGTTGGAGTGGGACTTGAAAGATACAAGAGTGAGACTAGACAGGGAGTTGTCCTATAGTTTGTTTTGATGTGGGGCTGGGCTGGTTCACTCCTTTCCTCTGCGATTTTACAATGAATGGACCATTGGAAACCACCCTGTCCTTGATCCATGCTTACCTGCACCCTTTTGCCTTTCTCTCGGGGGCTCGGGTTTTTTTTAATGGTGCAGGCAGAATGGCTCTGTTTTGGTTTAGTTCTAGCATGCATGATCACTGGGATTGAATCAAAGCAGATGGCTTAAGCTGTCACTTTGCTTAAGATGCTTCACAATCTTGCGAAACTGAAAGCTGCTTCCAGCTTCCCCATGAAGGGGAAGAAAAAGGAAACAAAGGTTCTTTTTTTAAAAAGCCCTGCTAAGGCAACACTGATGTGATATGCCGCTTAGAATTTTTTTTTGCAAATTTCCTCAAACTGGAAATTTGAGTGTGAGGAAGCTTTCAACTTCTCAAGATTGAAGGGTAGTGTGGTTGAACCTTGTTATGTGGATGCAAGAATCCCATGAAATGACATACCACACCTTAAAGTGACCCTGTTTAGCACCATCTAGTCCAATCCAGACTAGAGTAACTGGCCATCTAGTCACACTCTATATTCAAGGTCTTTCAGATCCATGGAATTCAATGGATCAATCATTTTCTCTTGGCCTGATGTACCTGGCAAGGCTGTTGCAAAGATAAAGTGAGGAGAAGCGAATCTCTTCTGCTGCCTTGAGTTCACAGAAAGAAAGTCAGAACACACAGATAAATAATCAATCAAGAAGAACAAAATAGGAGTAGAAGAAACTATATTTGATTGAGCTCCCGTGAGATGGCTGACATTGAGAATGAGTGACTGATCAAGGCCAGCCAATAAACGTTAACTAACTGGAGACTTGAGCACTGGTTGCATGTTTTGTATACTAACAGCAACCAGGAAATCAGGGACGGAACTAAAGCACGCGAGCAGAGGAAGGGAAGGAGGCAAGGAGGGAGCACTATAGTGACTGAGGCTTTGCCCCAACAGCTGGATCAGGACACTGTGCCCATTAAACTGGTTTCATATAAGTTTAAAATATGCCTCATAGAGGCAGCCACAATAAATGCTAGTTGTTACCTTTGTTTTTAGGAACTGGGACTGCAAATCTCTGTTTTGTTCCAGCTCATTCTGGATGTCCTTACAAAAGGCAACTGCATATTGCCGTTTATAATGTGGGCTGAAGTTCTTGATCACAGCTTCTGTCTTTCCTGAAACAACATATTAAAATACGCATTACATTTTGTTTTCATTTCTCTAAGGCTCCACAATTGCACGAGGAGCAGAATTTTGCAAAAGACTGCCAGAATTGTATATATCAGATGGCATCAACAAACACTGGTCCTAATGCATTTCTGAAAAGTGTAGTGAGATAGGATCACTTATCTTCTAAATAAATATTTGAAATCGTATTTGATTCCAGTTTGTGTGCTTGATGTAGAGACAGGAACTAAGATGCGGCCTCATCTATACTTTCCAGTTTTGCTTCACTTCCTCATGTATACCTCTTCCTCTCCTTCTGTCTGTCTTAGTCATGTAGGCAGTGGTAGCAGAGTCCATCCTTCACTCCTTTCCTAGGATGCAGTTCTCTAACAAATATATTTTTCTTTATTGAAGATGATGCCTTATTGATGATTCAAGACACTGGCTTCTGTGTAGACTAATGCCACATCTGATCCTGCAATGAATATCTTACTTTTAATGTAGAATGCTCCAAAATATAGGAGTTGCCAACTTCTCAGCTAGAAGCTTAAGAGGAAAAGAGCAGTTGCTTAACCTATTGTGAGGTTTTTGCAGCTCCACAAGTTGTACATGAGGTTGTTTTTGATTAGGGATTGGCCACTGGGATGTAAACAAAGGGCTTCATTTGCAAGTTAACTATGCAGCTTTGAAGAAAGTGTCTTGTAACTATTAAGCTGACCTCTCTTGCAATTCAGACCTCACTTTCTGGCTCATATGGAGCTCTACAGGGGATCTGAGGCTTACACACCAACACCCATGGATTCTACCCTGCATTCCCCGCTTCCCAACATGGAGGAAGATCAGATTGGTGGGGATGGCATGCATGCCAGTATTCCACACACAGTGTTGAATACAGGTTTTTTCCCCCATAGGGGAGGAGCAACTATTTAAAACTACAAACATTAATGTACCATATGATGTCTCTGTATATTGGAACCATTTACTGGTACACTGTATAGCAGTGAGGAGGAAAATAAATTGCTTTTAAAGAAAGGCACGCAGTTTCAGTGGTTTGATATTCTTACCCATCTTCTCCAACCAAAGACCCTCCCAATTCCTATCCATATTGTTTTTGCTCCAGCAAATAACAGGGAAACTGGCACAAAAACAATTTGAAAAAAACTTTTTGTCACTTTAAAAAAAAGCAATGGAGTAAATAATACTTCTATCAGAACACTAAAAACTTCATACAATTTGCTAGCTTTCGTGGATCAAAATCCACTTCCTTAGGCATGCACCAGTGTCTTGTCCATAGAGCAGATTGTATGATTTTTTAGTGGTCTAATAAAGGTATCACCTACTCTTGCATTGTATTATGTAAAGAAAACATGGTTCTTTTAAAAAATTTTCAAAATAGCCATCTAGAAACATTTAAAAATAATCTGCTTTTTTATTTCTGTACAGCTGAAATCCTGTTGCTTAGTTCAGCAAACTGCACTACAGTAGGCACATTGTATCAGTGGGAATTTGGTGAATTGACTCTTCCATAAGTTCCATTGATTCAAACAGGCCTACTCTAGTTGCAACTCGCTTTAACACAGTAAGACACAACTAGAGGGTTCTCTATGCTTGTTTATGAAGATAACTATTTATACAGAAGCTTCCTGGAGAAAACACAGCTTGGACCTAGGGAGCTTTATGTAAGGAAATGACTGGAGGTCAAATGTGTCATTTTAATAAAAAATTGGCTACCTCGCCATTTTTCATAAAGTGAATCCAGAATAGTTTATTGCGTAAACTTTCGTAAGTGTAGAAAAATGGATCAAATACAAAGTTTCAGAAACAAACAAAACCAAATATCACAAAATAAGAAGGGAAGCAAAACACCAGTCACAGAGGATATGTCGCAAAAACAATAAGGAGATGAGACCAATCAACTAAAAGCTTTTTGGAGCCGTCATGGTTATGCCAGATATTTAAAAAAGAGAACTAAGGGAGAACATTAATGCTCTCCCCACAGCCCTTGTTCTCTGGTCATCTTCTTGAGACATGCTCTGGTGTAAGGATGGATGGGTGGTAAACCTACTACACAGACTTCATTACAACCATTTGGTTTTACCATTAGGTTGATCAAAAACTGCAGCTCAGAAATTCCCTAACTTGGTAGTCACCTCAGTCATGAATTAAATGGCCATAAGTAAATCAACCTTCTCAACTTCAACACAAACATTATGGGCTTCCCTCACACAATCGAGGTGAAGCGCTTGGAGTACTCTAAATTGTCATATGCAAGCTAGCCCAAATCCTTTTGGTTAGTTACACCAGTGTAAGTGTAGTGGTATGAAGTGTAATGGCAAATTACAACTAGCTAACAGGTTGCAACAGGAGGGCCTGGCATGCTCTGGTCCATGGGGTCACGAAGAGTCGGACACGAGTTAACGACTAAACAACAATAAAACAGGTTGCTGCTTGTATCCTTTGTTGTGCATTGATTCATACAACTGGTGTATGACAAGAGATCGAGATTGAAAATTGCTATTTATGTCACTGCACTTACACCAGCATAAGTAATCAATAAGATTTTGACCACTAAAAATGCAATTAATCTGACTTAGAATTAGAGTTACTCTTAATTCTTTTCTTATCTCATTCCAAAGTCTTGAAGGCATATTTTCTCTGAAGCCCCACATTTGCTTTTAGTTTTACGTCACAGGGGCCTTTTCCACCTAAATGTCTCCATTCACATTTTATACACATTGAGATCTTCTACAAACAGTCCCATAAAGTGATGCTGGGGAACACTTTATGTACCTTAGCACAGTGATTCTTAACCTTGGGTTACTCAGGTGTTTTTGAATTGCAACTCCCAGAAACCCCAGCCAGCACAGCTGATGGTGAAGGCTTCTGGGAGTTGCAGTCCAAAAACACCTACGTAACCCAAGGTTAAGAACCACTGCCTTAGCAGACTGTTGCTGGGTATGAGTGTTACAGATCATATAACCTCAGTCTTGCATTACCTTCACCGGCTTCTAGTATGGTCTTAAGCTACACCCGAGATGCAAGCATAAACCATAAATAGTTCATGGACAGGATATCTGGAAGACTTCATTCAGATGAACCTGTGACTTCTGAGAGCTGTAATTAGGCCAAGAAGATATTGACCTTGGTGCCAAAATTTTAAAGGATGCAAAAATTTGGTCAAAAGCTCTACTTTCAATTCAAACCATTTTTCAGATGTCTTTCCCTTACGGAGCGGTGCGGAGAACAAGTGACAGTCATTTCTAAAAAAGGAGAATGCTCACATGTACAGTGCAACAGCAGGGGAATTCTAGCTGGCCCTGACCCCTCATTATCACTTCCATCACCTTCCCACATTTGTGAACAGGTCTTTGAGTTTGAAGAGACAGTGTTGCTGCAATCTGTGGGGGCTATCTGTGGAAAATTGGGGTGCTGATTTAGAGACAGCCCTCAGAGATAGCAAAAATTTTCACACTTGTCGCCTTTCACATATAGGAAAGTGACAAAACTGAGATGAAGAGAGAAGGGCATGAATGGTCCCTTGTACTCATGAGCATTCTCCATACTTGAAAAGGGCTGTTAGGATTGTATTCACCCCCTCCTCCCATACTGTAAACTTCCAGAACTTCACCGCTCATATGGTCCACAGAGAATCAAAAATGAAACTACACGGCCTGAGGTCTGGTAGGTATTTTTTTAACAAAGCGTAGTTCTCATATACAGAACAAGTATTACTACATCCCACAGAAGAATATGAGAAAAATAGCATAACAGCATAATGGCATTTTTGAGCCATTACTAACTGGTAAACCAACAGGCCAATTGGGTAGTGAATATCCTACCCATAATTTGCACTTGTCTTTGGTGGTCCTGTTATCAGCCACATCACCTAGGCTTAGAGAGGCTGAAGAAGACTTGGGGTAGGCCTTACATCTGTAGCAAAACCTTTCCTGTGGAACCCCACCTTACAGTAGATTGGTCTCCTCACTATTGTACTTTAGGTGGTCTGTGAAGACTGATTGTTCCATGGAGCCTTCAATGGTTCCTAATTCTTATTTCTTGTTTATATTGTATTGAAGATCTTTTCCCCATGACACTATGTTACTGTCACAGGGTAAAAGAGGTATTGTAGTTTATGGTGACATCACATCTGGCCATTGTTTAAATATTGCTTCCTTCCATCTGTTTCAAATCCTTTAGACATTTTCACTAGTTTTTTTTTTCTTTTTGTTCCTGATGATATTCCAGATCCTTGCATTTTACAACATAGCTAACTAAAGGTCCCAAGCAACAGCCGTGGTGCATTCTGCTTCTCCCTCCCTATCTGCAACTGAGAAACATTTCCATCTGTTTTTGGTTGCATGATATTCCTATGGTTACCTCAAAGTTTCAACACACGGGAAAGTAACATTAGAGAATAATCAAATGTATTTTCCCATCTAGCTACATTAACCGCTGGGCTTTCTCTCTGGTACCTCATGCGGCAAACATAAAGGGGAAACAGCTCCCAATGCATGGGGAGAAAGAGGTACATAATATGTTGCTGTCAGAAAAACTTTAATGATGCTTATGAGAACAGGCTAGTGAATCCAGTGTCACCATTATGTGGCATCACATACTACGAAGTTACCTCTCCTCCAAGTTACAGCCCAGCACTAAGCAAGTAATGAGTTAATACCATGATAACTACTGATGACTCACAGTTACCACCCAATCAGGATTGTTGAGGGGT